TATATATATAAAGCACATATAAAGTAAAGTAAAAGACAAGTAAAAAGATAGCAATGAAATAAAATAAAAAAACTATTTTTAACAATAGTTGCATTTCTGTATACTAAATTTTATTTATACTTGAATTTATTTTCGTGAAATTAATATTAACCCAAGAATTTAGTCTTGATTTAGTCAAAATCCAACCAATAGCTCTAAAATGCTAATACTTTTTCGGGTTGTAGGACTACAAACTAAACATCTCTATATGTTCAAATGAGTTTAAATGAAAAGATCACTGTTAGTTGAAAGTTTTCTGTTCACTCCATCTGTAATCCTCTGGACCGGTTCATTTGTCCGAATTGGCGCAATCTCTCCAAGGGGTGGCGTTTTACACCCGCTTCTCTCCAGTTCGCTCTTATCAGCAATTCAGATTGCATGCAAATGCCCTGTGAAAGGAGCCTCATTCTGAAAGGACAGCGAGTGCGTGCGCGAGGGGGGTGAGCAGAGGCATTCCTCGTTCCTCTCTCTATTCTTCTCTTGTCTGCCGGCTGATGCTCGCGCGTTCACTCAGCGCAGATATGAGCGCAGATCGCAGTGAAGTTTGAAGAACGCAGAGAGCAGCGCGCGGTCGGATTAGTATTTCCATCAAACTTGCTGCAGAACTCGTCCGGCGTTTGCATTGAGAGGTCTTTACTTTCTCTTTTAACCGTTTGGTTTGACCATGGGCTCTTTTTGCAGAAAGGCGTTTTATTGGCACGTTTGGTCATTTGCTGTTGTTTTTGTGCTTTTGAGTACGCGTTGTCATGGAAGTTGTTCAGAAAAGGAGCTGGAAAAACGAGAAGAAGAGGCGAATATAGTTTTAACCGGGACTGTAGAGGAGATCTTGAACATGGATCCAGTGCACAACACTTATTCCTGCAAGGTAAGACTTTGCGCACCAGACACTCTTCAAATGCATCAAAGTGAAAGTGAAAAGGTAAATATGTACTTCATAACACATCGTATCAAAAGTCTAAGGTTATTTTTTAATATCTGTGGCTACTGTGCAACTGTGTTGCAATCTATATCACCTGTTAGACATGTAGACACAAAGCTACCAGTCCAATATTTGAGTTGTCCTGGTCTGAAACTCGCAGCATATAATGGGAACATGTTAAAATGCTGTCTAAATGGGCACTTCACTAGGTTTTGAGCCTAATAAATCATGAACACCCAGGGGTTTCAACCACTCTTTGCAATATCAAATTGCATACAACTATAAATAAAAGGGATTTTTTAAAACTCTTGCTAATCGGTTTTTCTAACATGTGGACATTGGTTCTGCTCAGTTGATGAAAAATGTCAACCTCCTCAGTCCCACTTTGATCCACTTGTAATTTGATGTCCTTTCAGGTTCTATTAGTGCTTCGGGTTCAATTATCTTCAATTATCATGTAATCATGGGCTTACTTTGTTAGATGTAACTGAATGCGGTCACATATATCAAAGTCTTGCAGAAGAATAATCTGAAATTGCAGCTCTTCCCACCATCATTTCATTGTGTTATAGAAGAGCTATGCCACTGCAAAGCTTATACGTTAAAGGTTCTGAGACATATAGTGAAAAATGCTTCCTTTTTTGCAGTTTTATAACTGCAAAACTGCATAACAGTTTGAATGAAAAGTTTATTTGAAAAATATACCGTTTTTTTTAGAATTTGCATTTAATAGCTCAGCCACAATTTTGTGTAAAACCTGATGATCATGTTATCCATCACTGAACATCTGACCACCAGGAGTTCACATGGTCACGCTTTGGATGTGACCTATGAATAGTGCAGAATTTGATTTTTCTTATTCATTTCACATTGTAACTTCTTGTTTTAAGTATTTTAAAATCCTATTTTTAATGTGGTCTCACACTTTTTGGACCACCACTGTGGTATATATATGAATCAGAAATGCAGAGTTAGACTGCAGAGTCTTATGCAACTGGCGGTAGGTGGCTGCTATGGAATGTGCAAGAAAGTGACCTTGATCTGCTGGAAATGGTGTTTTCTTAATCTTATGTTGTCTTTCCCCTGTCTGAAGGTCAGGGTATGGCGTTACCTAAAAGGCAAGATCATGGTGAATGGAGAGGTGCTGCTGGACGGAGGAAACAAGGTGATGATCGGCGGTTTCGGAGACCCCCATATTTGCGATAATCAGGTGGCCACCGGAGATACGCGCATTTTCTTTGTCAACCTGCCTCCTCACTTCATGTGGCCGAGCCACAAGAACGAACTGATGCTCAACTCAAGCCTGATGAGGATTACTCTCCGCAACTTGGAGGAGGTGGAGCACTGCGTTGAAGGTAAGAAACACTTTCCTGACTCAGCATAAAGCTGTAATTCACATCTTCTGGCCGTGTAGAGATTTGAGAGTTCGAAAGCTCCTGTGGTGGTGACGGTGGTCCTGATTGCAAAAGCAGGTGGTGTTTTCTGCTCTAACTGCATCTTTATTCTACCTAATGAAGCGACTCGCATTTTGTGACATTACATTAACCACTTACATTATATTAATACAGCAGTCATGGTGTTCTAAATGAAACTTTACCCATTTTTTTTCTTCTCTCAACGTTTTTTGATAGCCGGCAACACTTATTGAATTTTTGGGCCCCGGGGCCTTAAACACAAAGCATATCATGTGCGCCGTCACTAGTAATCAGCCACTGACAGTCAGTGCTCTCGAAGGAGGGTGTGTCTGTGTGCTAACTGAGCACCTCCAGGGCCTTTGACTAACCTGAGTGAAAGTCCAAACCTCTACCTTTCCTAGAGGGAAATCATTTATAGAGTTAGAGTGGAGATACTAAAACATAACCGCAGAGCTTCAAGCTATGGGGCCCTCGCAAGGGTCCCTGTATCTGTGTTAGGATGGCATTCACTGCTTATTTCCACCTTCTCAAAGCCAGACTGTCAGAAGAAAGTTTGGCTCTGTGGGAAAGAATAGTTGAATGAATAAGGCCAGACTGATGTCCAAACTTCTGTGTCTTTTCAAAGTGCTTTTTGGTTTATTAATGTAAATTTGAAATAGTGGTTGTCCTTGGCGAATGGCGAGTTCCTTTTTCCATTTTGTAAATCAGCAGTGCTTGTAGATTAATCTTGTTTAGTGTTCCACAATGCTGGCAACCGTACAAGCAGAGAATATACACATTAGTCTGGAATGCAACAGAGCATTTGAAGCTAACATCACTCTTATAGGTCCAATCGATTCTGTAAATCGGCACTCTGCATCCTCTCTGTTTGGCAGGTTGTATTGTCTAGACTTTTGAATATCGACATCAAGTCTGGTCCAGTTTTCAGCTTTTTCTGGAAGAGATAGCTTGATAGACTTTTAAAGTATCCCTATTATGCTATTTGAAAGGTTTATAATTTGGTTTTGGGAGTCCCCAACAAGAGGTTTACATGCATGCAAGGTCAAAAACATGTTTATTTTCTTATAATATGCATTTAATTTTACCTTATTTCTCAACGACTCTCAAACGAATCATTTGATGATTCATCTTTCCAAACCCCACCTTTGCATGAAGCTACTCTGCTCTGGTTGGTCAGATGACCCAGTCTGTTGTGATTGGTCTACTGCGTAAAGCACATGTCGGAAACGGAATGCCCATCACCATTACTGGATTACGGTTTATCAATAATATATCCTATTATAATAATCATAGTTCTCCACTCTGTCATAAAAATAAAGAATCAGAGGGGAAAAAGTTGTTTTACACTTATGTTAGCGAACCGGACCCACAGCTTGGTAATAAAGACCCAAACAATAACGGTATATGTGTTACCCAAACACAGACATGGAGTACTGATAAATCACTGCAGTTTGTAAACCAACGTATTGCTCCATCCTTTATCATGACTCCAAGTAATAAGAACGACAGACATTCTATATTATATTATATATAGGGGCTCTTTAAAAGTTTGAAACCATGTTTTGTGGTGTTTTTATGTGTCATTTAGGGGCAAGTACATCTGAAGTGGTTAACATTTATTGAAATAACAGCATTAGATTCAGTTTACTTCCTGGTTAGTGTTAATGCACAACTCTGCACCTCCATTGAAAGTCCATTCCACCAAATCTTTGAGGCTTTAAAAAGCTCATAGACAGAGACATTTAATTTAGGTTTAATTTAGGCTTTTATTTATGTGGAAATTGACCAACTCATACATAGAGCACATCAAATATGGTCAACGGAAGCACAAACGTGTTTGCTTGACGTGTGAGAATCAGTGAAATCTGTTCTTGCGTGAACCTTTGTTCTTGCATGGCAACAGATACGGTTGAGCTTCTGTTTCTGAAAGAATTCATATTTTTGGGTGAGCAATGCCTTTAAGTAAGCCAAACAAGCACAAAACGTCCCTTTTCTTCTCCTTTTTTTCTTAGTTCTCTGGTTTTTAGTGCTGAGCTTTTTGGCACAAGCCACTGCTGAGGGGAGCCTGTCTTTTTTGAGGCTGCTTGCTAAAATCTTAAAAGGTTTGATGAAGGGGCAATTTAGGAGAGTACCGTATTTTGCATTCGCACATGGCGGGCAAAGTGTAAGGCCACTGAAAATAAATGCTGCTCTGGCTAATGAGAGGCCATGTGCTTCATATAACAAATGTGATTCTTTTTATATTGTAATAGGATTGGATCTCGTTTTGCACACATGATGCTCAAATATATGCTATACATAGCAAACAGCTGTGCTCAGAATGTCCAACAGTTTGGTTTAACACGCAGCTTGCAAATTCTAATTCTGAGTCTATAAACAGAGACTGTGTTCAAAACATTCAGAAACACTGGTTCTGACCTTGCTTTTGACATGGTTAGACAAGTATACTATAAACCAGGCCTTCAATAAAAAGTGCTGCCCTGCAGGCTGAGTGACTTGGAATAGTGCCTAATGGTGTTCATTTTGTGTTGGCTAAACTGATTTGGGAATTTGATGTTATCCATCCATTATGTAATAAAGCATGACCTTTTAGTGAAGTTTATTTTTCCTTTCCTTTGTCACTGCTTTGTAACCTTGTTTTAGACCTTAAAAGAGAGTGTGGGGTGGAAAGAACAAGATCGTACCTGCCAGCCTGTTGAGTGTATCCTCTCCTCTCTCCTCACCTCTGACAGGTTACATGGCACTGAGAAATGAAGAGATTCCTAGCTGAAGTTTAGAATACTGCCGTCAAAGCCAAAGTTTTCTTAAGGGGGGAAAAAGCGTTGTTGATAATGACAGGATTGGGAGGGTGAAATGTGATAACGAGAGCGCAACAAGAAATTCTTGATACAAGTGTAGACTGGAACGCTTATAGGAGAGGCCTAGAGGCGTTGAGTTCTCACTCCTGCCCCGTTTGCTCTTTGCTGAAACAGACCAATTGGGTTGTTACATGAAAAAGCACTTGGGTTAATGTGTTCATCTGGCAAAAATACACCAAATGCATCTGTGGAACTTCAAATGAGATGTTTAGAAGCATGTCTGAGCTGCTGATAGTTTTGTGAAGCTTTTTTGTCCTTTTGGAGCTTGATGGGCCCTGGTCCCCATCCATTTTTATTGGAATGACATGAAGATGAGTAAATGGTTTTATTGAGTGAACTAATCTTTTAAATCCTGTTTTATTCCACAGCTGGAATTGTGTGTCACAAGTCCAGTGGTTGAATCTGGAAATCTGCAAACAGAGTACTCAGAGAGATTTTGCCGTTGTTTGTTCAATCAACAAATCAAATGTTCTCCTTTCTCTGAAGTTGGCATGTGCGAACATGCCACTTTCCAGTGTTTCTGTGACTTTGTTTGCATATGTGGATGCTAATTCATTAAATGCCAAACTGCACAATAGTGGAAGCTTGCGTTGTGCTGAAAGATAATTGTTTAAGCAAAGAGAATGAAAGCATGAAGAAGCATGATTTATAGTAGCAATGAGAAGTCAGATTACTTTTGGTGAATCTGTTCATTGCAGTGAACCTGTTCTAAAAATCCAAATCACTGATCCATTTGAGGTATCTCTCAAAAGTATTTCCAGAAGTCGTTAAATGACTAATTGTGAAGGCTTAAGATGTTGAGCTTATCATTATTGATATACCAAAAACATATCCACCCTTACAGATCAGACGAGATCATTAAAAAATTGGTTCAAAAGAATGATTAATTTGTGAATAGGTTATCATTTATGATTATGTGTTAGAATCTTGTACCTGCTGTAATTTTTATTATTGTTTTTTTCAGATCAACATTGAATGGACAAATAAATCCCTCCCGATTTTCCTTCAATATGTACATCTATATGCACTCATTTTCGGAAATTTCAATTAATGCTATCCAGTATAAGATTCTGAAAGGTTACAAGCTTAATTTTTTCCTGTTGATTTAATTATTTCAATCCTATCTAAATTATATTTGGATCGAACTCAGTTGGATCGTTTTTACATAAGGGTTTTTCAGTCTGATTATAAACTATTATGTGGGTGCATTATGTAGCTAAAGAACAGCAGCAATGTAGATTTTCAGTTTTTTTTAACTTCTCCTCTGATCTGTCCCTCAGTTTTCTGCCTGTCATGAGGGCACCCTGGTTCAAGGGACCCAGTTCAAGTTGAGCTTTAGCCTGAGGACAGAGAGTCCAGTGCTGGTGGTCTGTCATGATAATGAGTGCAGGCCATCCAGTCGAACTCTCTGGCTTGAGTATGTGTGTGTGTGTGGCAGGTTTGGGAATGAGAATAGCAGGTCTTTGGGCACACTTCCCTTTTATTCCGGCTGTTTGTGTAAGGAGGCACTCAGCCCCGAGCAGGTAATGATTAATAGATCTAGCATAATTGAGGTGAAGGACTTCCTCCACCCCTTGTTAATGGTCTTAGGATGAGAATAATTGGAGAAGGGCCCTCTCAGAAAGGGGCTTTATTTAAAAAAATCACCCCTGTGTTATTTCAGGCTGATCTCCCTGAGCCAGACTTTAGCCCAGGGATTTCCAAATGTGTTTTATGAGATTTGGGAGCCCAGCCATCGGTGAATGGAGCTGAAAGCCTGTCGGCACCATAACACGAGTATCTAGGGGCTGAATGATCTATAGGAAATGGCTGTGATGCGTCACTGAATGGTTATTTGCAAATGAGCGATTCTAGGTGCACGTGTCGGTGACTAGTCTGAACAGGAAGCGGATTAACGTTTGTAGATGCCATAATTAGTATCTAATTTTTCACTCAGGTTATTTAGTCTGTGATTATAGCTTTGAAGTTTTCTTAAATGTATAAGAGAACTTTGGTCTCCATTGAAGGCTTGATGGGATGTATAGGCTCATCACTTTAGTTCACCTGCCTGGGCAAAAGCACTTCTTTGTCTGCGTATTCATG